GGACAGAGAGAGAGGGACAGAGAAAGAGGTTGTGCACCCCACAAAGAAGCCCCTCTGAGCATACCAGCAGGAGTCCAGAGGGGGCTGTGGGAGGGCCTTGGAGAAAGGTGGGCGGTGGGTGGGTGGTAGGGTGTGTCAGGGGAACTCCCGGAACACGTCTAAACTGTGCAGAGCAGCCGGGGCTGAGGCTCCTTGTGAGGTCCTGGCCTCGGCTGGCAGAATTTGGGATGAGGTGAAGCGGTCAGATGGCATCTAGAGGCATCCCCCAGGCTAGGCGTCCGTTCGTTTGGGAGATGGAAGCTCAGGGCACTCTCCCAGAGAAGGGCGGATGCCAGAGACAAAGGCTTCCATTCTCTCCTCCGGCTCGGGTGCATCAGAAGCCGGTGCCACTGACGCGACCTGGCAATGCAGTGGACACCGCCTGGCAACAAGGCCCAGACAAACAGTCGCAGCGCCGCCACGTTTCCACGACAACTCCTTGGAAACAAACACCACGCAGCGCGTCATCTTCCCCGGCAGGAAAAGGCCAGATCCTGCCCCGCCCCTCTGATGCACAGCAAAGCTGGCCGCAGGGCGGGAATGGATGGATGCGCCTGCCCTGGGAAGACCCCTGCCCTCGTGGCCCAGCCAGGGGAGTCCCCTTCTTTCCTTCAAAGGTCCCGCCCGGGGTTGGGGAGAGCTGAGGGCCCGCCCCCTCTGTGTTCCTCCAGGCCGAGCTGGTGGAAGTCTTCCTGCTCCGTAGGGGAGCGCAGGCAATTCATCGTCCCCTCCACCCCCACGCATCGCCAACCAGCAAGAGCGCGCGCGGGGGGGCTGCCCGGCTCAATCCAAAATGTGCAGCCAAGAAGCGGGGTCTCGGGGGAGCCCCAGAGCCCAATACCTGCTGGCGCTCCCCTGCTCCCCTGGGCGAGCGTGGAGAGCTCCAGACACCGGAGCCGACCCATGCTGCGCGGCCAGGGGCGCAGCGTCGCCCACAGGACAGTAGGCCCAGACACACCAGGCAGGGTCAACGGCCTAGAAGGCCGGACAAGAGGTCAGGGTCGAGCCTGAAAAGACTTCGTGCTCCATGGCAGTGACCAGATCTGGGAGCTGCTTGCCCCAAACGCTTTAGGTACCCGAGGCTTGGACTGCAAATGGAGCAGGACTACATGGGGCCCCAATCAGATGATGTCCCCAAAAACGTCAAAATGAAATACAGGGGCGCCGTCTAGTGGGCACTCGGGGAAAACAAGTGGAGGAAGGACACACCCACTGACGAGAAGCCGGTTCCAGTCCCAGACCCTGGGCCGCATGAGAAGGCCCAATTCACTACCTCACTACAAACCCAGTCACACCCTCGCCTAGCCGACAGTCCCCATTCTGTTCGTGGTCCACCCACTTGCCCTGTGGACTGCCAGGCCCCACCCAGCTCTCACCAGCCTTCCACACTCGGCACAAGACCTTTCTGGTCACCTGTCTCCAGGCCCTATCACATGGCTCCTGCTTGTTCTCAAGTCGGACCTCATATACCAAGGATCCAGTGCCCGGAGCTGTGTCCCAGGGTCCTAGGCTCGTCCCCATGTATATAACACACCTCTAAATGCTTCAGTGTGTCTTTAATGGATCCCATCTGTCATTATCTGGACCCCTGGTCCAAGACACCCCCTCCCCCCCACTTCCCACACATTTCAACGTTGGCATTGATGCCTGATCAAGTCTCTCCAGTTCAGAAATGTGTCTGACTATCAAAACCGGGCCCAGGAATGCCAGGGAACATCTGTGAAGAGACAAAGGGTCGCGGGGGGGGGTGTGAGTTGTGGGGGGGTGGGCCAGCAGGGGTGGCGGGGGGGGGGGTAGGGGGGTGGTTGGGTGGTTGGGGGGGTGCTGCCACCCTGGGAATGCTGTGAGCTCATGGCCATCACCGGCAAGCAGAGCATAAATAATACTGGTGGGCATGTGTGGGCAACAGGGATATCATAGGAGCGCCACCTCGGAGAGCTATCGGGAACATGGGAACACAGGGACAGACAGAATGCTGGGCACGGGGGCATAGGACACATGAGGCTACGGGGGGCACCCGGACACAAAGGGGCAGTTGGGTAACAACTGCTGAGGTGCTGAGGTGACAAGTGACAAGGAAATAGCATTGGAATTCTGGGCTGTTCTGGACATTACCCAGCAGACTTCCAACTCAAGCACTCAGGCCCCCAGGTTTGCAGGCAAGACACACTGAGGCAGGGCTAGGCAGCGGGTCGTTTTCCCTCAGGGTCCCGTAGGCGACCCTGAGGACAGCATCTGCAGATCTAGGGCTGAACTGTGCCTTCAGGGTCCTTGTCATAGATATAGCTTCCCACAGCACCGGTGTTCACTCCTGGGGAGACAAGCGGCAGGGGTGGCTGAGCAGGAACAAACAAGGGTCTGGGGAAGGAAAGAGGTCCCCATGTCCTCTACCCCCCGACTATACTCACCCTTGGGTCCAAAGAGAATTCCATAGCAAGGCTTGTGGCAGTAGGGCTGGCCGTCATGCTGTGGGCAGTGCAGAAAGAGTACTCAGCCGGACCCACCCCCCTCCCTTCCCCAGATGCAGTGAGACTGTCAGTCAGTCTGCTCCCTGAGAACTTAGGTCATGTGCAGGCCCACTCACTTTTGACAGGAATAGCAGAGCTCCAAGGAGTATCGGCAGAATGTGCCCTCTAGTGGCCTAGGGCAATCCCAGGTCAGGGAGTGTGACGGCAGCAGAATTCCTTGCTTCCAGTAACCTACCCCCACCTACAGGTTCCCAATCCTTACTCCAGCATGGTCTTCCTCCTGCACCTCCCTTAAGACCTGTTTGGCTCCTGCATCCCCATGGCACCCCTTACCTCAGCATGCCCGCCAGGGGTCAGTGTCTTGGAGCAGCGCTCACAGCGCAAGCAGGGCCGGTGCCAGTCCTTGCCCAGAGAGGTCACCTTCTCAGCTGAAAGGGAGGAGGATGGTGATGTGGTAACCCCACCCCTGAGGCGCAGTACCCCCCCCCCCCAACCAGGAGACTGGGTAGTCACTTACCAAAGTACACCCTCTTGTTGCATCGAGGACACATATTGGGTTCCCCAGTGAATGTGGTGACGCTCGAGGCTGGAAGGGTGCAGTTGGGTCAGGGTGGACCTTGGCCACCCATACCTAACCCCCACCCAGAGTCCATCCCACCTTTGCTGGGACCCTTGGGGGGTCCGCTGGCCTTCCGCTCCTCGGTTCGCACCACAGGGACCTCGATGGGGCCGGTGATCTGAGGGCCCTCAGTCAGAGGCTTCTCGTAGATGTAGGAACCAGCGCCCCCTATATTCACACCTGTAGGTGGCAGGCATGCCGGCGGAGATTAACGGTTGGAGGCCTTGACACACACCCACCCATCTCTCACACAGCAGAACTTCTAAAGCTGCTTCATGACTCTTCAGGGTAGGAGGGGCACAGGGAAGGAGGAGAAGGAGGTAGGAGCAGATGAAGCTCACACACCACCACCGCCCCCAGCAACCATAGGAGCTGTTCTAGGACTCAGGCCTAGCTGAGACCCTGGCTCACCTTTGGGTCCAAACAGTGTGGCATAGCAGGGCTTGTGGCAGAAAGGCTTCCCATCATGCTCAGCGTGGCCCCCGGGGGTCAGCGTCTTGTTGCAGCGCTCACACTTGAGACAGAACTTGTGCCAGTCCTTGCCCAGAGAGCTCACCTTCTCAGCTGTAGGGAGGAGGAGGGGGGAGGAAGGAGGAGGAGGAGGAGGTTGGGTCAGCATTCCTGTTTCTCTTCTTGCAGCTCCATCATTTCACGCCACCTGGTAGACATCACGCCCCACCCCACCCATGGTGGCTCCAAGATTAGTTCAGAGACTCCCTCAGCCATCCTGGAGCCCCTTTTCTCCTCGCTCAAGCCACATGGTCTCAGCACACGCACACACACACTAGGTCTAACCCCTTGATGTCTGTTGACTGCATCCTTCCTTAAAACACCTGCCTCACACTCATAGTGTCCCCTTCCCCATAGAGCCTAACTGAGCTAGCAGAGGTCCTACTACTGAGACAAAAGCCCTTGATCTTCACCAGCACCGGGTGAGGGACCACCAGTCCTGGTTGCCGCAAGAGCCACCGGACGGAATCCCTATTTGGCTTCCTTGTCCTAAGCCCTGAGATCTCTCTCCACCCACTGCCTCCAGCTGCCAGTTTGGCGCCAAAGGTTTGTGACTAGCAGCTGAGGATCCTGAGCTTGCTCCCCGCCAGCCCCCCTCCCTCCAGGGCTATGACTGCAGAGCCACATCCCAACGGACGGAAGCTTAGGCCTCCCCAAGGGAGTAAGGCAGGAAAAGGGTGGAGAAGTGGGCAGGAAGAAGGGCCTAAGCTGAGAGCAGGGCCGGAATTCCAAAGGGAAGAGGCCAGGCCAGAGTGGCGGGGGAGGCGGGAGGGGTGTTATGCTTGCTTGGTTCTGGCACTCGGCTCTGAGGACAGCAGAAACAACTCTCCAGCCTTTCTTTCTCAAGAGTGGTCCAGTGGTCCCTTTGGGGCCAAGCCTCCTCTGGACAACCTTGGCAAACGCTAGGGCCAGGGAGCCCAGACTACTCTGAGAGCCTCTCCCTCCTCCAGGAGCTGCTGCTGCTGGGCAGCGAGCCTGGATCCTCCATGCAGCCAAACCTGGCTCTCTACAGCCCTAACTTGCTGTGCATGGACAGGACAGGGCGTCCTCCAGGAACCCCTAGACCCTTGCCCTGGACGGTGTCACTTAGCTCCCTTTGTGATACTAAGACGCAGGTGAGCCAGACATAGCCCTGCTATGCCCACACCAGAACAGGCAAGAGCTACCTGGATAGAAGGCAGGCTTGGCTCCCATCCTCTCTCCATACAGAGATAAGGAGATTGTTGGGATGGCCATCAGTGGCTGTGGCAGCTGCAGCTCGAGGCTGCCAAAACCACTCTGCTCTGGCCAGCTCTGGGATGTGGGCCATGTGGGGGCAGGGAACTGACCCTCAGACCCACTGGTTGGGTCGATGGCCCCATTACATACGTAAATTGGGAATACAGCATCGATTGGGTCTCATAGCTTGGGAGGGAATGGTCTCCTACCAGCCCACGTGTTCTGGAGGGAAATTAGACTCAGAGCACCCTGAGGTCCCTTTGGCCCAGAGTTTACTCAGATATGCGCTGCTACAGCACAGCCTAGCCGGGTGGAAAGGGCAGCATTCTGGACGCCCCCCTCCCCATCACCTTCCCAAAGGACAGAAGCCAGCCCACTCTGAGCAGCCTTTGTTTTCAGCTGAGAGCCAGAGGCGCCCAAGCAGGCAGCGTGTTTTTTCCGGGTGGCCTGTTGGCCAAGGCCCCAGAGAGTCCAGAGCTTGCCCGACCAGGGGCAAAGTCATGAAGAAAGGCCCTGAGGACTGTCCTCACCCTGAGACCAGTCAGACATCCCTCTAAGGAAAAGGACTGACATCAGGCAATATGTCCCCTCCAGGAGGCAACAGGAAACCCCTGGCTCCAGGCCACCCAGAACAACTCCAAGCCAAATCCGGTCCCTCCCCTCTGGGAACAAACAAAAGTGGCCTCGCCTCTCCTCCTGTCAGCTCAAGAAGCCCCCTGACCCATACACGAACTACTGTTCTGAAATGGCCATACAAGGGGACCCTGTCTTTTCCGGCCGGAAGTCGTCTTCTATTCTGGCCCCGAGTCTATCTTTCGGTGGGCAGCGACACTGAAACTCTGAAAAAGTTGTTCAGCCCGGAGCATAGCCCCTGGAGGTGAGCAGTTCAAGGACCAAGTGATGCCTGATAAAGGTGACAGCCTTCAAAGGCCACCTTAGCAAGAACCAAACATTCCTGCATACTATTGCCTACTTCCCTGACGGCCTTGACCTCCAAGAGGTCAGGGCTCTAACCACTTAGTGCACTCTCAAGCTCATGGAGACCTATGTGCTGCCAGGGCCCCACCCCGGGTGAAACCGCCGAGGCAAATGGCCAAGAAAGGGAGCAAGCTGGGGCACGTAAGAGGCGGAGGACAAGGTCGCCCCCGCTTGGACTGAATCCGGGATCCCAGCGGATCCCAGACCTGGTCCAGCGGTCTGGGCAGAGGTCGGAGGGAGGACTAGGGTCACTCACTACTGCGGGTCACACTACTGGGCCCACGTGCAGGCTGGGAGGCAGCTACGGGATGAGGCGGAGATGCCGGGGCTCAGGGGATCTTATCGGACCAGTCCCGGGCGTCTGACTTGGTTAGATCCCGCCCCGAATAGCTGCTACTGAAGGCGATGAGCCGAACATGCGGCTGGCCGGGAGGGTGGGGGGCTCCCAGCCCTGGCAGACCAGGACTTTGCTTACCTCGCCCGGTGCCTACTGGCCGCTTCCGAACAC